AGTGCACTTGCCTTGCTCCTTTCAAGGAGTTAACCTCAAGCTTTAAAGCCATCCTCTGTGCTCTTCTGAGTCTCTCCTCCTTAGCACCCAATTAGTACCTCATTAACAGTTGGTCCAGATGCTTTCTGGTCTTGCCAGGGTGACTTTTAACCCCATGAGCGCACAGAGGTTAAATTGATTTTTTTTTTCTTTTGAACTTTAGTAGTTAATTCTGAGCAAAGAGGACACAACAGCCACGGTAGTGCCCCTCTCCAGCAATCTCTGAGTACCCCTGCAACCAAGGAGGGTGGTCACAAGAAAAGGGTCCCATGCTCAGACATCCATAGTTCCCCTTCCAAAACTGTCCCCAACAGATGGCCCTCAAGACTCATGCCTGGGTATCTGGCCCAGACAGCTCCAAAACAATTTAATCAGTCCAGAAGTACACAGAGACCAGAGCTATTTTTTTTTCCCCTTCTCCTAGTGATGCATTAAGCAAATGCCACCACAGAGGAGCCCAGCCACCGCACATGCCTCCAGCTGTGGGATCAAACGAGCAGGCAGGGTTTAGCAGAGACAAACCACGCTCAATCACCTGCAGATAACCGTATCTTCAGCAGCAGCTTGAACAGCCCAGCACCCCCAGGGACCCTACCCGGGTGCCAAAGCAGCTGGCTGCCCAGGACTGCAGCAAAGGGCTGTGATGGAAGAGATGATTGCCTTGGAAACCACAGATACAGGACAGGGAGGATGGCAGCCTTCCCTGCCTGGAGAAGAAGAAAAATCAAACAACCCCTGGCCTGGTCCTCACCTAGGATGGAGAATCAAGTCAAGTCATCCACAAATACCAGAGGGACATGCTGCCTTGGAGCCACGTGCAGAGTTACCAGCAAGCACTCTGCTGGCTAAATATCAATATTCCTCTTCCAGTCTTCTTGAAAAATAACTCTCCATCCTACAAAGTCCCGAAAGGCAAGAGGTAACACACACCAACCTAATTACTTTAATCATCACCAGTCAACAAAGTATACCTACATTGCTCTGCTATCCCTGGCCCCTCTTAGGCTGCAACAACTTGGGGTACATAAGAGCCCCAGATCCATGGGAAACGGCCCACTCTGGCCCATTTTGGTGAAGTATATCTCAGAAAGAGCATGGTTAAGCTCTGCATCTCAGCACGCAGTAGAGAAACACCCATACGTTTCCAAGTCTCGTTAGCTGGTGTGGGTTTCCTCAGAAAAAATATCAGCTTTCCTCTCAAATTCCCTGTGCCTTCTGCAGGTGGAGGAGATGGTCTGCTCAATGTAGCCCACCCTTGAACAGCTCCAGCTTGCCCTGGGAAAGCATAATCTGAGTTCCCCACTGCAGAAAGTCAAACCACATGAAATTCCTCAGACAGCAAACTCTCCTACTCAGCGCTAGAAGCCAGACGGGATCCTCAAACATCCCACAGCACAGCCAACAGAGAGCCAAGTGCCCGAGCAACGCTGCTTCCACATGCACACTCCCCAGCAGAATTCATGACCCAGCCAATGCCACCAAGAGATTTGGGTGTCTCTAGCAATCACCATCTCTCCTACTCAACCAAAATCCCTGCAACTGCCTTCTTCAGAAGAGCAGGGTGTTTTACAAGCTCGCAGAAGCATGACCACCCTGTTCCCAAAACACGAGCTATTTACAGGGCACTTACCAGCTCAGCAAAAGCTGCACATAGCAAAGGGGAGGGGGCAGAAGCACGTAAAATTCCCCCGTCAATCACTCGCCTCGCTTTCTGAGCACGGTGATGGAGAGCACAGGCCATGCCTCCTGGGAGAGACGTGGAGCTGAAGGCAAGGACTGAGGGGTTTTTGAGCAGAAAAACACAGCCCCACATGTCGCACGCGGGATTCTCAGCCCAGTGTGCACATCCTCGCCTCCTCAGAGGTTCTGAGCTCAGCATCCCCCATCCCCTCCACACCACGGTAGCACCGAGCTGCTGAGTCAGGGAGCACGGGAGGACTTTAGCCCAAACACCCCGGGTCCAGCCAGGCTCCGAGTGCTGAGCCAGCACAGCTCGGGGCTGTCGCTCCTCACAGCGGCTCTGACCATGGGACTTGCTGAGTCAGAAGCTCTCCTCAGACCTACGGTGTCATGGGTTAACAAGCAGGAGGAGATGCTGAGGCAGTCAACTTCTAAGGTTCAGCATCCCACCGGGTGCTAGAGGCATCCCAGCAGTGCTCACAGGAGAGCAATCCAGCAAGCTGGTGGGGCAGAGAGCCGAGATCCTTGGCTGCAAGCTCTCCTGCTCAGGAATAACCAAGGGAACAAAATATCAAGCCATCTTAGCAGAAGCCCTGGGGGGCCCAGCCTCCCTACCTACCAACCATCCCAGGCACCTTTCCCAGCACCTTCCTGTGTTCACATTGCCCAGAGTGCGTGGTCTAGCCTTGCAAGTTTCCCCCTCTTTGTAGAGATCAGTCCTGCCAATCTAGTCCCCTCTCTGCGTTTTAAGGATGGCCCACAGGAGATGGGCAGGAGGGACACACCATCCCCAGCCCACCCGGGTAACCATGCCCCTGACAAAAACCGGCCCCAGAGCAAAGCTGAGCACATGCTGTCAGCTCAGGTGCAATGATTAAAGCATTCCCCACTCTTTTAAGACGACATTATTCCAGCGATGCCAAAATGTTTCAGTAGGATGAAGGGAAAGCAGAAGTGTGCTCGTCTGAATGGCCTCTTTTGTCACGCATTTTGCGAGGCGTTGAGGCGTGAAAGCTTTCAGAGAACCTCGGACGAATCCAAGCTGGGTGGTTATAAGGCCAGTTACAGACCCGACATGATGGATCATCTTAATTTTCCCATTCCTGTCCTGCATAGAGCAAATCCATTCGCCGGGCAATTAGACTCCAGTCATTACATTACGGTAAGGTGACGTTCCTGTTGCAGCAGAAAGGGGACCCCTCAACCAAGAGGAGACCCAGAGCTCTGCCCGCTTGTTCCCACCTGCCAACAAATCCAGTGCTACCATGGTCCAACCAGTCATTATCCTTCCTCCTCTCCAGGCATCTCCTTCCTCTCCTATAATCTCCTCCCCAGCCCCTTCAATCGAATTCTTCTTCCTTGAGCTCATGTCTCCCGCTCCCTCCGGGCATTTCCATCGCTTTGGGCGAAATAACTAACGAAGAGGGTCAGTCCACCTGAAAATTGCTCTCCCCGGACCTAAATGAAACAGATGGGCATTGATGATGTTTGGGGAAAAATTAATCAGCCTGGACCGGCGGCAGCGCCAGCAGCTCCCTCGGCCCACTCTCGCCTAATGAATTCCAAGCTCTCTGTCTTAATAGCTCCTGACAAGACTAATTTACTCTTGTAAGTGATTAGAGGGGGAATGATCTCTTAATTGTTGCTTAAGATTCCTTTCGGCATGGCAGGCAGCAAGTGGGGATGCCTAGGGAAGGGAGAAGGGGGCTGCACAGGGGTGTTTGCTCAACACCATCATGGGCGCTCCTAACAAACAAACAACCCACCAAACAAACAACAGAAAAATCCTGTATTTTTTTGGTAGGGGAGAGGCACCACGCACTGCTCTGCTACTCACACCACAGTCATAATAAAGGTGCTTCCAGATGATCTTTTGTTTTTTTTTTTAAAGTTAACAAGCCTAACTCAGAAAACATCTACCAACAGCAGAAAACACAAAAACGCTGTTTTTCAACACTTTCAAGGCTGTAGTTTCCTTCTGGCGCATCTGGAAACAAAATCCCAGGGTGCCAATATCCTTAAGAGTGAATTTCGTCTCTGTATGGTGTAATACAAAGCTGAAAAAAATAAAATAAAATTCAACCCCCAAAGTAATTCCAAGAACAATTTTACTCGCGCAATATCTCACTGGAAAACAGGCTGTTGGAAATCTTCCCCCATTTTCTGCCAAAATAGGAGTTCAGTCCAATTCCCATAAGGTATTTCAAGCTCAAGCACTTTAAGAACTGTGTACCCAGCGAGGCAGCGTTTTCATTAAGCTGTTGTAAAAAAAGCTCTTGCTCAGCTGCTTCTTTCCCTGGGACTTGTCTGGGGCACATCCAGCACTAAGTGTGCAATCGAGGGGCAGGGAGTATAGCGAGAGCAAAAGCAAAGAAACCAGCTGGGAAATGATCTATGGACTTGCTGAAGGATGTCAAGAACAACACAGATGCGAGCCATCGGGGGGCAGAAATTAGAAAAAAATTACAATTCAGTCAGGTCCTTTCTTTCCTTACATCACTCGCAGTTTGCCTTCAGCAGTGCTGCAAGTAAAGCACCCAAACAGCACCTTTTCAGAATTATTCCCCATTACAAATAAACCTTAGTATCACTATGAGATAAAAGTGCCCAGGCAGATGGCTGCAGCTCCAACAAACCTTCTCCTGAGGTTGCATCTCCACGCAGAGCTCAGCTATCGTGCCTGGAGGCTTCCAAGTCCAAAACCCACCACTAAGACCCCACACGTCCTGCCTACTCGCTCAGACACCACCCCCAGTCCCATCAGTGGGGTACAAAAAAGGTGCGACCAAGGAGATCCCCAAGAAGAGACAGAAGCCTCAGCTGGAAGCCCTGGCTGAGCTAAGCAGTCACTAGAGAAGATGACTCCAGAGTCCAACCCTCGACAGCTTTTGTGACAACTTAACTGTGCCGAGAGCCCTTTTATTTTATTTTTTTCCTTGAGGAAGGCACTGCTCGGGCTGCACAGTGGAAGGCAGCAGAGGATGTGAGAAGGGGCCTCCATAGCCTCCACCCCAGCCTCCCTCCCCTCCCAATCAATTCCTCCCACATTAAAAGCCAGTCAGGAGCCCTGATTGAAGAGCACAAGTTTAATGGACTGAGAGCCTGGAAAGAGGCCAAGAATGACCGGGTCGATTTCTGCATTTACTAAAAACTGATCCCTAGCTAAATCAAGACAGAAAAACAAGCTACGTTCTGTCCATCAAAAGAAAAAGACATTCTTTGATGCTTTTCCCAATCAGGGGGTCAGCAGCATTGGACCCCCTTGTCCACGCCCCACTTACCCACAGGAGTATCCTCATTGATCAGCAGGTAGGTGTCGAAGAAATAATTGATGAAGTATGGCAGCCGATTGCTCTGACCTGGAAAGAGGGCAAAACAAGGTGTTATTTCCCTGACCAGCACGGCTGGGGGAGGCTCGGGGCACAGAGATGGACCAGGCTTGCCACTACGGCAAGGGCTAACCCTGAGATGAAGGCTAATGGGACCAAAAGCATCACATGGTCTCTTGTAGAAGGCGGTTGGGGAACCGCTTCTCTCCATCAGCCTTTCCTTTTTGCATTATTTTCTTTGGCAGGGTGAAGGCAGAGGGGAAGGGGACCAGAAACACCAATTATTGTTCTAGCGCATGATTAATACCTTCACTTTGTTCCCACGGCTGAGAGCCTTTCGCCTTGTCAGCCATCCGGCAAAGCCCGGCACGCCTGCCCTCTCCCATCACCCGATCACCTTCTTTCCCTCTAATTGCCTCTTTTCACCCTTAACAACCAGGCTCGCTTTTTTCTACTCCTTTTTTTTACAGAGCTGGGAGCTCATGAGTCCTGCCCCCAACCACAGCCTCATTAGCCAAGCACGGAGCACGTAGGAGAATGACGACTGGGGGAGAAAAACTCAACTGGGAAAGATTTACCGAGTGAGCGATGTAAGAAAAGAGGTGGCGGGGGAGAGGAACACAACAGTTTTCCCAAAAGGGCTCCAGGTTTCCCTCCTGACCCCACTACCCTTCGCCACTACCCTCGTGCCCTGAGTTTCAGCACCCCACCTGCAGACACAAGAAGCAGATCGAGCTCCAGCATCCCCTTTGCCAGCACGAGCTCCCAAGATGTTCCCAAGAGCTTTCGGGCACAAGTCCCAGCTGTGCTCCCACACAAACCTGCTCAGCACCCGTGAGAAATCCACTCAGAAGGGGAAGCCTGGGCTCCTCCAGGACTCTCTCCATAACAAGACAGGAATTTTCAGTGCTGCCCTCTTTCCTGAGGCACCAGGTTTGTTAAATGCCTCAAGAAGCGAGAAAGCACTACAGGAAGCGCTTCTTGCAATGGCACATTTACATCTCAGCCCCTAGAGTTAAGCACCTGGGAAGAAAATGAGAAAGACCCCAGCAAAATGAGTTATTTAGAGCTAATGGCATCTCTGGAGGCTTCGAAGCACACTCGTAACTGGCTGCCATGCTGGTGCCAGCAGGCTTTGAAGGGGGCAGATGAGGCTAAAAGTAGCTCTTCCCGAAAGGGATTCTCTTCTGCAAACCCCTCTATTTCTAAATATATTTCTTGATATTGCCACTCTATGAAAAATAAGGCACATCTTCCAAAGCCAGCCATGTAGGGTGCTGGCAGGCTTTCAAGTCACCAGTCTGTGAGGGCACACAGGAGATGTGGGAAAAGCTGAAAGAGGGTCTAGGGGCAAGGCTGTGCCTTGGGCTGCACACCCCAGCCGCAGCAGCAAGGCTGGGACCACTCTGCTGTGCTGCTAACGTTCAATAGGGCAGCACGTAACAGGAGGGGACGGAGAGAAAGCCTCAAAACAGTACAAAAAATGAAGGTCTATATATGCGCACAATGATGAATGGAAACCATCCATCCCAGGAAAAAATAAAAAAGGGATCCTGCGGCTGAAGCCAGTCCCAGCAACCAGCCACAGCTACTTCCAGCAGGAACCTTCTTCCCATCTCAGATCTGGCCACAGACTCTCACCCTCATAATCCAGCTGCTGTCAAGAGGTGCCTAACCAGTCTGTGAAATGCAGGTCTTCCACACATGTGTCCTGCCACCTAGTTCAGGGTCCCAGAGGTTTTCCTTTCACATTTAAGCCAGGACTGTCAATGTGACATTGGCTTTGAGCATGCAAAGTCATAGAATCATAGACTGGCCTAGGCTGGAAGGGACCCTAGAGATCATCTAGTCCAACCTCCCTGTCATGGGCAGGGACGCCTCTCAACTAGATCAGGCTACTCAAGGCTCCGTCCAACCTGGCCTTGAACACCTCCAGGGAGGGGGCAGCCACAACGTCTCTGGGCAATTTATTCCAAAGTCTTGCCGCCCTCAGACTGAAGAATTTCTTCCTAAGGTCCAATCTAAATCTATTCTCCTTCAACTTAAACCCATCTCCCCTTGTCCTATCAGTGGACACTCTTGTCAAAAGTCCCTCCCCAGCCTTCCTGTAGGTTCCCTTCAGGTATCAGAAGGCAGCTCTTAGATCCCCCTGAAGTCTTCTCTTTTCCACACTGAACAATCCCAGCTCCCGCAGCCTGTCCTTGTAGCAGAGCTGCTCCAGCCCCTGGATCATCCTTGTGGCCTCCTCTGAACACGCTCCAACAGATCCACGTCCCTCCTCTCACAGAGAATAATTTGGGAATCACAGCCACACACCGCATACCCCGAAAGCGAGTTCACACTTTCCCAAAGGCATCGTGGTGAACCAGCCACCATCTGTGGCATCATCTAATAGATCATCAGCTGGATTTTCCCTCTGAGACTGCCACAACCACCCAGCTATACCCTTGCTGTGTCCCTCAAGACAGCCCTTCCACATAGTCCCTCCAGCAAGGTGCATGGCAGAAAACCATCGCTTCCACCACATGCTTGTAACCTTTCATACCTCCTCCAGTTGTTCTAAGACACTCGGAGGTTTGCTTCCCCACATATCTTCCACATTCCTTTCATATTATTTCTGCAAAACCTGCTGCCTTCTTTGCCCTTCTCATACTTGATGACTGCTGATGTCAGAGCACGGTAACCATGGGGCTGTTGTTCTAGCTAGCATCCCTCCATTCCTCCTGACCTAGAGATGCTGAAGGTCTCTGCCCACCTCTGCACTTCTGCATTCACCCCAGCTAACTGCTTCACCAGGACCTTCACAAGTCGTACAGAAAGAGGAGCTTCGTCCCCTGCAACCCCCAGGGCATATGGCAGGGCATCCATGCGCTTCTTCTCCTGATCCCGGGTGCAAGCCTTGTGCCAGGGCTTGCTTATCAAGGGCATGCACTCCTCAGGGGTGATGACAACTGAGCCCTGGCTGCCCAAAGCTTTGCAGCTTGCCTGTCTTCTCTGTCCAGATAGAGATGTACCAGGCCACTCATGGCAAGAGGTATCTCTGTGGGGGAAGTGGAAAGATTTAGGAAGTTCAGACTGGGGCAAAGGACTCACCAGGTTATCTTCTTTTTTATTATTATTATCATTTTTTAACTTTTTTTTTCCCCTTCCAGAGGAGCAACAGGGCATTTAACAGCCAAGACTATACTTGATCCGAATACGATACCAGAGCGAGATTGACTGCGCTTGTCAGTCACAGCTAATGTCATCCACTGACTGCTTAATCAGGCTGCCAATCTGGGCGAGCCATCTTGAGAGGGGAGGGTGGGAAAAAAAAAGAAAAAGGCAAAAAAAAAAGGCTTTATTCCAAAGGGCACAGTGCTATCAAATGGACACACGCTTGCTATTGTTTATCAGCAAGCACCACACAGGCACACAACCCCCTCGGCTCCTCTCTTCCTCTCCAACACACAAAGGTCTTCAGCCCATTCATGCAACAATCCCAATTTTCACGGGGCTTTGCCGCACGTGTACAGTGCTTACACACCCCAGGATGTGCCAAAGCCCCAGGATATGCCAAGAGGTCCATTTGCTGTGCCAGAAGGCAGTTGTGTGTCCCCGCTCACCCCCAGCAGCCAGGCAGCCTCCCCTGATTCCCCGCCAGGAACCCACATGCCAGGGGAAAACCGAGAGCATCAAGAGATTTTGTAGCTCAAAGGAGCTATCTCCCATGCAGCATATATAAAAGCACAGTTTGGGTAATATTTTTTGCTGCTGAAAACACAGGGAGAACCCTGCCAGTAACACCTCCACTGTTGGACACCTAACGAGCTCCTGGATTACATCCTTGCCTTTTATCCAGTCCCTCCAGTTTCCTTCAGGTTTTGTCATGAAGCGACCTATGGCCACATCTATTGCCGGGTTCACCACCAGTTTTGACCTCATAAACCCACCACGGGAAGTTGCTGAGGTCTTCCCGCTGCAGCAGTAGAAGCATCCACCACCATTGGGTTCCCTGGCACATCGTCCTCCTCTGAGCTTCTTTCCAGTCCCATCACTCTCTCTCAGGAAGGGCCACCTGATGCCACGTGTACCCCTTTTATTGTTTGCAAGGTCCCTGGGACCACATGTGACGGAGGTGAGGGATCTGCTTAACTATACCAGCCACATGTCCCCATGAGCACCACGGCGATGCCTTTAGATATCCAAAATCAACAAATACGACTCTTGTACCTCCCAAACATGAGACTCAAGCAGGGAGGGGAGAGGAGGGAGAAAAGCAGGATGCTGGACAGACAAGCAAGACTATTTACCTGGAGAGACCAGCTCCAGGAGCAAGAGAGGAAGCAGAAGGTTGCTGGCAGCAGTGGGACGCTTCATGGTTCCTGTGAAAGAAGAAAGGCAGCATCAAGCTTTATGAATGTTACCTTGTCTCCCCAAAGCGGGCTTGGGAGTTGCAGCCCCATCCCAGCACCACAGGCAGACACCCAGATCAACATTTTGTTAACGTTGGGCTTTTATACAAAGCATCTCACCCCAGAGTTCCACCATGGATTTCTCAGTTTGTGCGGCCCCAAGGGTGCTCTTGGGCGAGGACCAAAGCAAAACCAGGATTAAACCTGGTGCAGGTAACACATTTTTTTGTTTTCCGCTTTCTAAAGTGTATTTGCTCATCTCCTGTGAAGGGGATAAGCCCCAGTGACCTGTGGAGCAGAAGCAACCCCAGCTGAGACAAGCTGCTCGAGCACCAAGCAAGACGTTGAGGGTAAGGAAGAGCTGCCGCAATCTGGCAGGGACGCAGCAGCGAGTGATCAGCGACGGGATTTAAGATGTTTTGGCAGAGCTGCCCGGAAAGCTTGACCCAGAATCATCGAAGAGGCACCGAGATTTCAGAGGACAAAGCAGAGCCCCTTCAAACCACCGAAACAAGAGCACTGGAAGCTTGCATGCAAGCTTGCAAACATGCCCGCATCCCTCTCTGCCTCTCCAATTTCCCCGTCTTTGCATTCGATACGGCACACGCCTCCTCCCGATGAGGCAACAGAATAAAA